CAGGGACCAGAAGAGCCTCCGCACGTTTTTCCAGGAAGCGAAGAGGGTGCAACTCGGTTCGCAAATCACCGTAGGTATTGCAGCTTGACTACTTGACTTTTTGTGGGGGTTAACAATACCGAGGGCCGTGGAGGCAGAGTTGCTGTTCGATCGCTCGAAGTCCTACAAGCTGCTTGCCTTACTGGCTTCGTGCATGTGTTGTGGTGCATGCCTGCTGTTATTCTCGAATTCTGCATTGCACATACTGCACCAAGGTTGCCTGCCGCAAAGATGGAAAAGGCTGAAGCGCCGAAAGTGAAAGCCAAGCCTAAAAGTAAGCAGGGTGCAAAGGCGAAGGCAGCAAAGCAGGAAGAGGAGGATGACGAGGAGCAGCAAAAGCCGGCCAAAAGGGCCAAGAAGTAAAGGCTAGCTGCATGCAGCCAGATGCACACCCCAGTCGCAGTATCGATCCCAACCGTGCTAACCTAAGTAATATCGGAGCTGCTGGGCTGTGTGAGTATGATTTTACAAAGTGGCTTGGAATAGCTGCTGCACCGTGCTGGATCGCCGGCCTGCGATCGTGCCAAACTGTTGTCTCTGTGCACACTGGGGGCAGAGGGTTTAGGGTTTAAGGGTTTATGTTTTAGGTGTGTGTGTGTGTGTGGGTGGGTTTGTTTTTGTGTAGGGTCTTGGGCCAAGTGTTTCGTGGTGCAGGCTCGAATTTGAGGCTTGGGTTGCATAGGTTTTTAAGTGCTGTTGTGCTTAAGATTCACGCCGTGCCCTACACCCTAAACCCTAAGTGAAGCTTTGACTGAATAGCCAACCTGAGCAAAGCCTTCAGCAAGACCTTCCCGAAGCCCAGAAAACTAGGGTTCGGGGTTCAGGGTTTACGGTTAAAGGTTTTAGGGTTTAGGGTTTAGGGGGGCTGAGGTTCGCGAGCTTTCTGCAGTCAACAAATCACAAAACACCAACGCATTTGCTTCTATTGATCTAGTGCTAGACTACTCCTCTTTTCACAAACCCGTTCACTTCCCAGCCCTTTGCTCAAAGCCCTCGTACCCAAAGCCAGCATACCTCCCTATCAAGCCAGGTTCTTCAGAGGATGAGCCGGGCCACGACGGCCGGGTGCAGCTGTATGCAGAGATGCTGGGAGATGGTGCAGCTTTCTCGGTGCGAACTGCATTTAGGACTGTAATCGGGTCTGGGATTGGGCTCGGCCCTGTTCGATACGAAAGCAGCACTTGAGATTCGATTGAGAGGAGTACCCTATCCCGCTAGTCGCAAACCCTAGCCAAGACTAAGCGACTATTGAATACCTTTAAAACACAAAGGATTAGCTGACTGAGAATCTTTTGCTTGGGGGCTTGGGTCTATTATCAGGACTCGGGCAACAACCCAGTTCTCCGAATCTCTGCCGACAGCAATATGAAACGGTATTCTCTCTCTCTCTCTCTCTCTCTCTCTCTCTCTCTCTCTCTCTCTCTCTCTCTCTCTCTCTCTCTCTCTCTCTCTCCTTCGCCTTCGCCTTCTTCTGGTTCTTCGCCTTCTCCTCTTCCTTCTCTCTTTCACTCCGCACCCTTTCACTCTATCTCTCACTCTCTCACTGTCTCTCTCTCTCTCTCTCTCTCTCTCTCTCTCTCTCTCTCTCTCTCTCTCTCTCTCTCTCTCTGTCTCTCTCTCTCTCTCTCTCTCTCTCTCTCTCTCCCTCTCTCTCTTTTCGGGACAAGTTCCAGCCCGCCCAGGCCACAGCGATAGACACGAAAAGGTGTCTCAAGGAGATGGCGAACCCTGGTCTGCCGGAGAGCGAAAAACGAGAAGTGAGCAATGCTGAACGGGATTGCCATGCTAAGTTCAACAGAATGGGTCTATCTTTGCCAGTACCGATACAGACCCACGACCACTGTGTAGAGAATGAAGAAATCATTTCTACATCATATGTGCTGGTGTCCAGCTGGCTACGATACCTCGTTCGGCAAATGCCTTGCTTGCTGGCTGGTGGGCGGAACACACTAGAGGTTCAACTCGAAGCTTTCTGGAAGATGTATCAGAACCACCACCCCGAGCACGCCATCTTCAGTGCAGAGCATATCACTCCTGCTACTGCTATTCCCCTGTGCCTGTTTTCAGATGAAGGGAAAGGCCCCAAGAGGGGCAATTCTTTGATGACATGTATGGAATCACCAATTGGTTTGTCAGAGATGCCAGAAGACTTCGCTTGTTCTTGCTCTTCACACGTGTCGCACACGCCGTCTCAGTTCGTGCCTGACTGTGATACCGTGGCCGAAATGTGCGATGCCGCCAAAGAGGCTGCAAAGCAAACTACGAATCTTCAAGGGGCTTCCTTCTTGACAAGGCATTATCTGTTTGGGCTGCCAGATTGGGTATACAAGCATCATGATTCGGTGCTACAGAAAATGATGGAGCTCGTGGCCGAAGATATGTCCAAGCTGTTTACACAGGGAACAATGATCGCCGGCAAAAGGTACTTTGCAATCCTGACTGGCCTGAAAGGCGACTTCAAGCACATGGCCGAGAAATATGGCGAGCTGACACGTTCTTATTCCCATCTGGGGAAAGTGAATTATTTGGGGATGTGTTCCCATTGCCTGGCCGGCACCAGGCCGGACTTGCCATGGGACCAGGCAACCCACGATCCAGATTGGGCTGGCTCTGAGTTTGCTTCGAGACCCTGGGACGAGCCGCCAGTGTTTTGCTCCATGCCATTCGACTCTGCCAAGCCAGAGGCTGCCCTCAAATTGGATGCCTTTCATCTGTTTAAAGTTGGACTTGGAAGGGATCTTGTTGGGACAATTGTTCTGTTTGGACGCTTGGGCTTTTACGACTTTTCGCCGAGGGAATCTACGGAACTCAAGCAGCGACTGAACCGTGCCTGGAAACATTTTATGCTTTGGCGGGTGACAGCGAAGCAGACGGTGGCTTGCAAGTACTTTTCCCCGGCCCTGTTCAACATCAAGAGGCAGAGCGACTACGCTTGGGCAAATGTCAAGGGCTCCGATACGATGGTTTCTATGCGATACATCCGTTGGTATGCAGGCTTGCTTGTGGCTACCAGGACTCTGCACGATCCACATCGACGTCTTCTTGTATTGCTCAACAAGACCATTATGCATGCACAGCAAGCTATGCACATAATGTATACCCACGGCCTCTGGTTGGCACGGAAATGCCGTCAACGCCTTTATGTTCACTTGATGAGTATGTTATCAGGGTATCAAACTTTGGCGGCTCGTTGCCCCACCATGGACCTCACATTTTATGGGTTAAAGCCGAAGTTTCATGGGCTTCATCATTTAGCCTATGATTTGAAGAAGGCACTCAAGACTTCTACACCGCTGGTTTTAAATCCGATATGCTGGGGCAATGAGATGAACGAGGATGCCATCGGAAAGGTATGTTCATTGACATTGAAAGTATCTGTCCGCACTCTGACTCGCCGAGTTATTCAAAGGCACTTTCTCAAGAAATCGGCTGTTATTCGTCGACACAGACAGGAACGAAGCAAGAAGGGTCTGTGAGCAAAAGTGGGTTGGGCTTCTGGTTGCTCTCCTCTCCCCTTGCCTTTCTGACCCTTTAGAAATACTGTAAATCCCAGGGGCGACTTCCAAGCCAATCGAGCAATGGTGCCATTGCAGAACCAGCTTGGGCTTGCTTAATTTCTTAAAGGCGGGGGTGTGGCTTCAGAGCTTCAATGTGCGAGTTTGGATTTTGAAGGAGTTCCACGAGCCAAAGTGATTTCAGAAGCACCTCAATAACCTTGCTTACAAGTCCTAAAATCCGAGATTCCCAGGCCTTCCCTAATCCCTTCACCCTTAAGTCTTACATCCACCCCACCAGTATCGAACACCCTCTTGACTTTGGCTCCGAAGCCTAAACCTTACACTCCTAAGTCCTGCTTCCACCCCGCCCGAATCGAACATCTTCTTAACTATGCACAACCCAGAGACTCTGAACCTGCACACTCTGAAGCCTGCCCTAAACCTTACACCCCTAAGTTCTAAATCCACCCTAGCAGTATCGAAGACCTATCAAGGTTATGCCAAAGATGATGCTGATGTTCATGTTGGTGGCCATGATGGTGTAAGTGAAGATGATATTATACATGTTGATGGCTCATGGTGATTTCGTTCTCGATGCCAAGGAAATATTCAATAGTAAAGCATAGTAGGTCCCGACAAATTATCACCTGAAAGCAACCTTAACACCCCAGATCAGTTCAAGCCCAACCAGTGTGCGGCTACGTTGTCTTTTCTGTTGCCGTTTTGCTTTTATGTTGCTGTTATGTTTATCAGTTGCTGAAATTTCAGCCGCTTCAGGAAGTGGCCGAAATTACGGCCGCAGGGTTATATAGGTATATATATATATATATATATATACCTGCGGCCTGTCCCGCCTCATTATTATTAGCCGCCCAAGTATAACCAGGTTTTGTAAGGTCAGGAAGAAACCCCTTAGGATTTACGGGCGTGGTGGTTTGGGTTGTTTTTGAAGAAAGAGCACGGTTCTGTTCTGGGCTGCTTAGAACGGGACTGGGTGCAAAGATTTGGGCATTGGATGAGTTTTGCGATCAAGACTTGTATTATGGAGGTGGTGAGTTTGGGAATCGGGAATTGAAAGGTTCTGTGGCTGTCGCGTGAAGGCATGCTTCTTGATTTGAAGATTCGGGGCTGCGGCTTTAGAAGCTTGGAGGTGCAAAGATTTAAATCAGGGTCTGGGTTTGGGTCAAAGGATCGAAGCCATCAAATCTTGAAGAAACCGAGAAACATTCCCTTGCAAGCTTTCCAGCTCCTGAACAGACCCAAACATCTCAGCCAAAAGACCCTGGAAACAAAACAAACCACAGAAGCCCCTGGAAGAGAAAACCCTTGAATTAGCGAAGCCCATTTCGGCGCCTTTCCGAACGACATCGTGCGATGCAGGCTGGGCACTTTGAGGGCTCGGAGACTAAAGTTCAAGGACCATTTAGGTTTTAAGACTACTTCTCTATGCTATTTCCTATTCCTCTAGTCCCCTTGCCCGGCAGTGAGCTGCGAACGTGTAGCAGCAAGGTAACGTCCGATCGTGCGAAGTCCCTGCAAGCGTGGGCTCACGCGCCGCGACAAGCGCGACACGCGGCCCACGAAGTCCTCGTCGGCAAAGTTGGCGTCTGCCAACGGTGATAGATGATACTGTAAACCTCGGTCCAGGCTTCTTTTCAAATCCAAGCAGATGTGGTGCCAGCAGTGCAATTTCGGCGTGAGGTTGTACCTGGTAAGACTGCGGCGGAAAGCCAGGCTCGCACATTTCCCGTACGACCGCAAAAAATGCATACAAGCCTCATAAACAGTGGTCGCTTCTGTAGTGGTGAGCCATAACCCAGCTTGAAGCACCGCACGCATGAAAACGCCCATGGCATCTGCGGCCCCATACATAACCCTGAGGAGCTGGTCCCCTTCCATTTTGCTTCGGTGCTGCTCAAGAAGCCAAAGGAGAAATTCCATCAAAATGGGCGTGTCACTCGCTTTGCTCCAATGTCCGACCGGAAAGACCGACTCTTTCTTGAAGCCCAATAAATCGCGACTGATAATCTTGAAGTGTAGTTGTCGCCGCGTCTGCGAGAGAAATCTCTTGAGGTCTGCAGTCATCAGATCCAGGCCTTCCGGAACCGAACTTGCTTCGTAGACATCAAGCAAAACGACAAGGGAACTTGCTACGAAGTCCCTGCCCATCCCAAGATGGTACACATGTAGCACGTCCAATCGGAAAAGCGCAGCTGGATTGGAGTGAATGTGCGGTGTGCATTCGAGCAGAGGCGGCAGCACATCCCATGGAAACGGATTCTTTGAGCCAGCAGTTTGAAGCCACTTTGGAGAATCTGTGAACTCTTCAAATGGGTAGTCAGCGGTGCCGGCCATGCAAAGAAAACAGCATCCTGTGAGTGGTTTCGACTTGGCAGTTTCGGGAGCTTTTCGTACGTTTAAAATGCTACGGAGCAAGTTTCCAGCTTTCGATATAAAGGGCAGGTCGCCCTTGAGCCCTAGCACAGCAAATCGCCAGTGCTGGCCCTGGAGCGTGATCCCATCAAAAAAAAGCTTGGCCAAGTTCTCCATGAAGCCAGTCAGAAAGGATGTGAAGCAAGCTGGGTTTTCTCGGTATAATGTTTTGCCCATTACCCCAAATAAGAAACGGGTTGCTGCCTTCGCAGATTGACACCAGCAGCAACCCTTGGTTGCTGCTGAGGGTGGGAGGCACGAGTTCCAAATCCCAGCATCGGTTGGAATTGTAAAACCATTAGTTCGTCCTTACGGTAGGTGCGCCCCCCGTCTCCGTGAACCAAAAGAGGAACCAAAGCATCTTCCTGGATGTAAGAATGAAGCCATATGTCGTGATCCGGGACTGACTGCCGGTAGCGCTCCCAGAACTCCTGAAGGCGGGGTCCACCTCAGCAATCCATGCTGGCGAGCAAACCCCATTGTTCCCACTATTCCCCTCTATAACGAACCCAGGATTGTACTTGTGGGTTGCTTTTGTTCTTCTTACAGTCGAAGTTGAAACCAAGATGAGTTCGGCACAAGCCGTGTGGTCTTTTAGGGTTGGGCGGGGCTTTGGTAAGGTAAAACAAGTGTAGCACCTTTTGGACTATTTCGGGATACTACAGAACTATATTTAGGTCATGTAAGCTGTTCTTGGGTCGGAGCTGCTGTTGCTTTTCTTCTTGTTGCTGGTGCTGGTGTTGTTCTTGATGCAGTGCTGGTGGTGGTGGTGGTGGCGGTGGTGGTGGTGGTGGTGGTGGAGCTGGTGGTGTTGCTGCGAAACAGGTGATATTGTTTTCTGTTGTTGTTGCTGCCGTCATATTGCTATCGCTGGTGCTGCTGCTGCTGCTGCTGCTGCTGCTGCTGCTACTGCATCGGTACGTGTATTTGTTGTGGTTGTTAACACTTTCGGGAATCTTTGAAAGTTTTTTCGGAATCATTGAACTTAATGTGAATTAAGAAGAGAATAAAGATTGGAATCATTTGCTGCCAAAGGTTCTGTTCCGAACAGGCCCACCAAGGAGCTTATGCAAAAACCCTTTGTCTGACAGGGTTCTGATAAAGTCTTGCGGCAGCAGCACCGGTACATCGACTCCCGAAGCACAAGTCATCTGCGTAATCGGAACATCCAATGTCAAGTCAAACTGCCGTAAAATCTTCTGAAGAGCCTTCTCTGAATCGTTCTTGCAGCAGCGAGCCATCGATTGCAGAGCCTTTGAAGAGTCCTCACCGACGAAGGTTTTCGCAATGGTCACGACGTGCTTCGCCGTGGCCTTAGCGAGCAGCAGCTTGGGGATCACTTAGGGAATTCTGATGTCGAGGCTTGGATAGCAGCAGCGATGCAAGTCAGACCCTTGTTTTCCTTCAGTGGCAAATCGAGCTGCACTCATCCACTGCTGAATTAAGGTCCCATAATCCACTTCACAGAACCCATCGCGCACGATCAGCACGAGCTGTAACAACGTAGCAACAGTAGGGGGGATCGAACTTGGGTTGGAGCAGTTTCTTTCTCATGCCCTCCCCACCCCTAGATATGTTGCGACACTGTTTTGTGCCACGGTGGTGGGAGATAAGAGCAGCTTCCAGCATCTCCACAGAGCCCAGATCAGAACTTTCATGCATAATGACCATTTGGTCCCATCCTTTAGCTTTGTACAAGTCGAAGCGTGCATAACAGTCGTGCGTGATACCAATCTTGTAGATAGCCAGCTGAAGGCCTCCAGTCTCTAAGCGTACTCGGTGTATCACAGCTTGGCAATGCTCAAGGATTCGACCAGCTAGCGCTGCAGGATTTGGCAGCTGCCACGAAATAGGATTAGCACTGTCACCCTCCACCACTTGCCTATCCCCTGACCCACTGAACTCTTTGCGTGGGCTGCGGCTGCGATGCAAGGCTGCATCCTCCTCCTGCTGCTCATCGTCACTGCCCCAGGGAAATAAGACAGCGTTCTGCAGCATAAAATCCAGGTAAGGATTGCCAGCACAAGCACTCATGGCTTCAGAGGTTTGGGATATGTGCTATCCAACTGTGCAAACACTTTGGGGTTGGGAAAGTATGGGTTAAGGGCTTTGGTTGTCATAGGGTTATTCCAAAGGAGGCATTTCTTTATTATGTCCATGTATCAATAAATAATAGCCAGTCTACTCAATCTTTCTTCCTGCTAATAAGTGACAGCCCGGTGACAGCTCCATTGGGGTTGCAACTCGGATAGCAGCAACAAGCAGGCCCCAAGCCAACATCCAATGCCCCAAGCACAGAGCCTCTGAAACATTGATTTTTATTGAGCTTAGCCCGTATTGGACAAGAGCACTGAACCTTGCCCAAAAAGACCCAAACCCTACCCAACAAACCTGGAACTTTTGCCTGGAACCTGAAACACTCAAACATTAAAAAAGGGCTACAAACTTAAAGAGACCCTGCACCTTACATCCCGATGTGCACAATGCCGAACGATTTTGAGTCCCCGAAATCCAACGTTCTAGCCAACACTCGAGCTCCATCACATACAGCATCTTCTGCATCTCGACCTGGCCCACCACTCTGTCTAGAGTTGAAGACCCTGGACTTTTGTTATAGATGGTCTGCTTGCACACATTGATTTCAAGGCAGCATCACACGGTCGAGTCAGGGGCATCTGCACATAGTTGTGACTTCATGTAGCAGCAGGCCGACTTGCATTGCCTTGCAACCACACAGTGTTATTGCACCTAAGCATAGAGAACACTCTGGCTTGTGGCAGCCTGCTGCAAACAACTTGTGCTTCCCTTAAGGAAAGCTTGCAAGGGTCTCGGGTTTAGCACAAGGAGAACAGCCCAAAGTACCAGGAGCCTTTAAGCTACCTTTGTATTTTGCTAACATCAAAGACAAGCCTTGCGCACGATTCTAGGCACTTCACTGCGCCGGGCCCTTCTTTCGCCTACGAGCTGGTGGGGCCTTTTGCTCAGCAGCCTCAGGTTTCTCTTCAGCACCGGACGTTTTGCGCTTCGCGACGTCCTTCTTTTTCAGCTTCCTCAGTAGATGCTCTATTTCGATCGAATATTGAAGATCATCTCCTCAACAACATGTACAGTCACCGGAAATGCCGTAACAAGAGGCCGGTTCTTCGCCTCCGCAGAGATTGCAAGTGTCATCCTCAGATCAGGAAAGTGTGGGTTTTGGTATGTGCATCGTTGTGGGGATGCAGGTGGTAATATAAGAGCTGGATTCATTACAATTAGAACTCTAAGACATATTGGATTGATTCGGAGATATCTGTGCCTTCAGAAGTGATCTGAAGCATTCGTGTCTAGGTTTCCAGAATGGACTTGTATCAAAGGTTTGGGGGATAATCCATACAATTGTTCAGGGTTTAGGGTTCTAGGGCGTTGCTGTAGTCGGGGTTTGGGAAGGGAGTCTGCAACAAGGCTTTTCGGCGTTTTCGGCTTGAGGCTCAGAGCTTGGTACACAAAGGACTTAATTGAGGTGTTCTGGTCAAGGTTTAAGGGGTACTAGAATCTTAAGGAGGTGGTTTGCAGGCAAGGTTCTGCTTCTTCACAAGCTCGAACAGTTTCTCGAGCTTCTCGGTTTGCCTCAGTGATATCCGACCATACAGGGATGCAGGATATCGAAGGTAAAGCCCCATTACCCTATAGTTTTTAAATCTGTGTAAGACCAAGTACGCATCACTCATGTTTCCGATTTTGGATTCAGCCTGCATGGCCGCCAAATCATCATAGAGCTTGCCAAGCTGATCTTTGATGTCGTTCAATTTGGGATACTCCCTTGGATGGTTTCTGAATGCTTCTGTACACAAGTCCGTATACACTGCATAAGAGATTCCACACGTTCAAGACTGAAAGGCTGTTTCACAGCAGCATCCGAACCATCGAGCTTGTCCATGAACTTCATGAGTTTGTCACGTGATGACACACACTCGCGCATGTACTGCTCCACTAAGTTCTTCGCCTGAGCTGAATCAGAATTTCTAGATGCACGAAACTTTACTTGGGCTGTACAATTGAATATGTCCAATTAATGTAAATTGAGGGACATTCTTCGGGCCTTCAACTTGCACGTTCCCGGACGAAGGCTCACGATTCCATGACTTGTCGAGGTTGCCGGAGAGGCCGCTGATATGGAGGCCATCGCAAGTGCCGGATGCACTACTCTGCTCTCTCAGCCCTTCTTTCTCGGAGATTCCTTGGCGCCCAGTGGTGCGCTTGTCAGCCCAGAACTCTTCCAGGTCGTCATCGTATTTGTTCTTCCTGTGAACAACTTATGATTGCAGGGGAGGGATAGGGGTTTATATGGGGGTCTGGGCTTTAGGGTTTTAGGGTTTAGAGTATGTCAAAAGTTAGAGCACTCTCTCCTGATATTCCCAATTGGGTGCGCTCTGTTCCAAGCGATCACCTTGTCCGCATATTTCCTGAGTTTTCAGCACACAGAAACTGCCATCTCAAATAACCTTCTCGATGTGCACAAGGGAAGCAGACTTGCAGTCTAGGTTCGCCGACCATCCAAGCCCTCCTTCCGAAACCTTCTTAACCATATCGTCCCGCGTATAGAACCCACCGTCTGTCCCCTCATCCCTGTAGCGCAGGCTGTCTTTGTAGATTTCCACCTTCTTGAGGAAATCCGCCTCTTTCAGGGTTCGTGGGATCCATATCTATTTATAGTAGCTTTCAGCTCTAGATGCCTTTAGGGTTTACGGTTCAGGGTTTCGGGCTTAGGGTTTGGGGTTTAGTTCTACTCATGAGCAGTCCTTCTGACCATTGGCATCTGCCAATAGCTGCACCATGTTCTCTCGCACATCTCCAGCTTGTAGCCAGAGCTCATGCACATCTTTCGGCACCTGCAACTTTCCGGTGGAGGTGTAGTTGCAGAGTCGACGAAGTTTCGCATCCATTCGTTTCTTCTTCTTCTCGGCCTCATCACCATCTTCTTCTTCTTCACCAGCAGAAGGTGCAGCCACTGTATCATCCTGAAGGTTTAAGGCTTTGTCTGGGTTTTGGGCTGCATACTAGGTTAGGCAGATACGGGCTTAGGATTAATGGGATCAAAGTATACTAATAAGGTTATTAGGCAGTGGGTCCTTCTTGGATGATGCCGGTGACGGTGTAGCTTGCTTGGGCTCTGAAGCAAGAACTGCTGCTGCAGGATTTGAAGCTTGCTGGCTGGCTGGGGCCAGGGGCTCAGGCCCAGGAGATAAAGCTTGCTTGGTTGTTGCCTGTGGGGTCTGGAGAACCGGTTCTGCTTGCCTTGAAGCTTGCTGCTTTTGAAGCTTCTGGATGACAGCTTGTTGCGCCTGCAGCAATTGCATCAAAGTGTTGGTCTGGTCGCTCTCGACCTGCCATGGATAAAGCTACAAGGATGTGAAAGGCTTGAGTTGATTTCTGTTTGGGGGATGATTTGTACTGCACATGAGATCAGACTTCCAGCGTTCAAACAAATCCAGAATGTAAAGTGCTTTGCTTGCAACGCAAAGAGTCAAGGCTTTGGGTGTTATAGATTTCGACCATAGTTACTTCTAGCTCCCATTTAGATTGCAGCCTGCGTTTTTTCAACTTAACCCATTAGCTGCCTTTGCCGTTGCTGGGCTTGCCCGCTCTGAGCTCATTGGGGAAGGAGTCTGCAAAGGGCTGCGTGCGACGTGCCGTGGAGGTGGTGTGCTCATAGCCTGCAGCCGTGCCTGAAGGGTTGAGGGATTGAGGGCAGGGTTTGGGGATTCAGGAATGACTGCTTAGTGGTATGCAGGGATAACATGTGCAGGAAGTCAAGGAACCCAGAAAACACATATACACACAGGGACCTACACTGTGGCCTACACAGAAGACCTAGACACACACCACGAGTATAATCCAGGGAAAGCCTTGAAGTCTTCATCATTCTCAGCATCGGATATTTCCATGTAGGCATCAGTCTGCAAGGTTGTCGCGACCACCTGCTCATGTAGCTTAAAGCTTGTTTCTCTATATGCTACATACAAGGATTGCTTTGCCGGATGGATTTGAACCTCGGCTTTGTTTGTCACAGGAGACAGCAAACCAGCAGCATCCAGTTGTGACTCTGTCGCTGGCAGTGTTGGTGCCGGAGAGTCAGGGGCATTCTCGTAATTCACCCGTAGCTGTAGGTCCTGGGAAAAGGAGGAGCCTATCTACATACTCCAATTAAGCAATATGTGCACAGATTCTACAGAAGGAGAGACAAAAACTGCTATGCACATGACATGTCCTGAATATAGTTCTGCAGCTCCTGAGGATCATCGGGAAGTTCCTGCTTCGTGACCATCTGGAGGCCACCGATCATGGAGCTTCCGCTCCAGGATCTACTCACAAGCTTCGTGGGCTTGTGCATGTGGGGGCCCACCGAAGGCAAAACTAGACCTGATAGTCTAGGCCAAAAACTGCACAACTTCCGCATCTAGTCTGCCATTCTGTAAAATTCAGAGCATGCTAATAATGGTCGTTGGGCCCCAGTACAGTTACGCATTTTTTTGGTCTTTCTACGCATATTTATGGTTTTTCTACGCTTTATTTCCGGTCGCAGGTTTTGTGGGATTTGGGAGATTTACGGTTGTGGTTTCTAGTTACGGGCGCCGCTGGGTTTAATTACGGGCGTGGGGGTTGGTTTACGGGCGTAGGGTTGTGACTTTACGGTCGTGACCTAACAAAGTACGGCCGCAAACCTGGGATTTACGGGCGCGAGGCTAGGAATTACGGGCGTCGGCTTCCTGGTGTCAGAAAACCCACCCAAAACAGCTAAAAGCTCTATTCAGAAACCAAGGAAACCCAACCAAATCCTTCAAAATAAAAGAAATCTGTAACAGATCTGGCATATATCTGAAACGGAAGCCCAGAACAGTGCTGCAACAGTGCCCATTCCCAGGCTGGAGGAATCAAAGCCTGCAGTCCCTAGAGCTTTAGCGCTTAACCCGGGATTAATCGTAGAACCATATGGGGTGAAATTATCTAAACCATGCAGGCAAAGGCTGCACTGAAGGTAGGGATACAAGCTTTGGTGTGTCCAGCACAAACATGGAGAAGCAATAGGACAGCACGGAACAAGCTGGTATATGGAGTCTATATTGCATATGAGCATTGTATTTCCCGTTCTCGCACCTGTTGCTCTTTCTCACTCCTCTCCCTCTCCCTCTCCCTCTCCCTCTCCCTCTCCCTCTCCCTCTCCCTCTCCCTCTCCCTCTCTCTCTCTCTCTCTCTCTCTCTCTCTCTCTCTCTCTCCCTCTCGCTCTCGCTCTCGCTCTCGCTCTCGCGCTCTCTCGCTCTCTCGCTCTCTCGCTCTCTCTCTCTCTCTCTCTCTCTCTCTCTCTCTCTCTCTCTCTCTCTCTCTCTCTCTCTCTCTCTCTCTCTCTCTCTCTCTCTCTCTCTCTCTCTCTCCTGTGTCCAATCTCCTGGCAAGTCCTGAAGAGGCATGTTTCTTGGAACACATCTCGTTAGCTGTTGGTCGTGTTGGATGCAAAAAAAGAGGCAACCCAACCCCCTCAAAATAACGCGAAAACAGACCCCCCCTACCCCTCTACCCCCCCCCACCCCCCCCCCCTACCCCCCTCCAACCCCCCCCTGCCCCCCGCTACCCCCCCCTACCCTTCCCTACCCCCCACGACAGAGACATAGAGAGAGAGAGAGAGAGAGAGACACAGAGAGAGAGAAAGCCCATAGAGAGAGAGAGAAAGAGAGAGAGACAGAGAGAGCGAGAGAGAGAGAGCGAAAGAGAGAGAGTGAGTGAGTGAGCATCAGAGTGGGTAAAATCAGGGCACAAAAATCATTCAATGCATGCAGGCCATCCTTTGGAACTGGTGCAGCCGTCCCATTCTCTAGTCCATGGCACACACAGGCTTCATAACTGCTGTGGCAAGAATGGTCTCCATTCTTCTGGGATGCATAAGCCAGTACAGCCTCGCAAAAAAAGAACTGCCTCAGTCATCCTGGCATCCTCACACATGTCATTGTAAGATGCCCTCGAAAACATCTCTATCGCAGAGCTTGTAAGCGCCTGATTAAGCTGAACTTTCAAAGCCGAGGGTTGCTTGCGTAAGTCACCGAACAGGTGGACCATGCGCTTCGCAAAGCTCCGGGTGTACATCCTCAGATGGAGTGGAGGGTACTTTAGGGTTTAGTCTTAGGGTTATTCGGGCACAGAGCCTAGTGTCCTAGGTCCTGAGGCTCAAAGCTTTAGGGTTTCAGGGTCCTAGGGTATTTGGGGAATTGAACACAGGGTCTTGGTATCCCCAGTTGCCCGGCTGTTGGGGTATTCTTACTGAAATAGTCTTAAGATCCAAGAGTCGAAGGTTTTGGGTCTCAGGGTGCTAAAGCCCAGGAGCTTAAGGTCCGAATGTCCTTTTGCTTAAGGTAAGGTCCTAATGTCCTTTTGTCCTTTTGCCTAAGGTTCTTCTAATCAGTCTATTAGGGTACAGAATCTTAGACAAAGGGCCTTCAGGTCTAAGGGCCTTTTAGTCATAGGGTTTCGGAGTTTCAGATAGTCTTGGAAACCATTAGTATATACCACTAGAGCCCGGAGTGATCATGATCAGTATCCTTTCAGTCAACGGAGGCCTGTGCTATTGAGCCGGCATGAATACTGCAGAGTCCTATTGTTTACACTACAAGAAGAATGGCTGATATCACACAAATCAAGTCACCCTGTCTTGGTAAGATCGCTGGTGCCTTGATATTTCCGTCGACCCTCGGAGTCTGTGTACCGTCGTACAGGTTTGAGTTGTCCAGACCGACGAGTTTTGCCTTGGAAAGACTTGAGATGAAACTTTCCCGTCCAAAAGCCAGCGATAGCTGCTGTCGACGACCACAGCAAAGTAGGTTTCGGAGTCGGAGAGCCGAAGGAGCCCATCCAAATGCATATCCGATAGATCTCGCAAAGCAATCAAATTCTCATGTGTCACATGATAGAGCACATTTCTAGCTGCATATGACATCAACACAGAGAACTGCAGGCACCTTGAAACGTTTGCAGAGCCACTGAAAACGATCGTGTTGGAACAGCAGACTGCTTCTGGGCTGCTCGATAACCCAGTTGCCGCCCAGCCCCATTACGAGAAGCATCAGCAGAGCCACCCTCAGTAGAAGCAACGAAGCAGACAGAACATGCCCTCACAGCACCTCTATATCGTACCTTCATTTCTATAGATTCTATAGATTTCTTCTACACCATCAGAAGCCTAATTGAGGCAGATTGCCGCGCAGCCATTACATTGGCATCCTCCACTGAGCGGTACTCGGTATATCCATGGGGAAGGCAAAGGGATCTGTGCGTAGTGCCTTTGGCCATTGAAACCCAGCTCGAGCAAAGTACCCCACACCAGTCCAGGAATCCTGCAGGACTCCCCATCAAAGTTGTGGCAATGAAGCTCCTAAGTCACACACATAATCCCCATTCCACAGTTGGCATGAACTAGCAGCCCAGACCCTCAAGGCACCAACTAGAAAGACCGAGGATCCCATAACCACTTGGCCGTAATATGTCCAAGCCCCGACCATAAGCCTTGTCTAAAGCTGCCGAAGAATACCCAGACACACGTGCTTCAGCAGTCAATACCGCCGAGCCAGCAAAATGTTCTATGAAGTGGAGCTCCTGGCCCAAGCATTCCCTTGTAGTTAGGGTTGTGGGTCTAGGAGTCTAGGGCTAGTGTTTAGAGTTTAGAGTTTGGGGTGCCCGGGTTTAGGTCTGCCTCAGCCTGAAATACAAGGATTTCTCATTCTGCTTTGGAGCCAGCTTTGGGACTTCAGGTTGGGGTAAACTTCCGGGCTTATTGAAATGTAGTGTTGCTATTTTTACAAACAACAGAAAAAAGAGGGGCTCCAATTTTGTCTCAAACCGTGTTGATGCTTTTCAAACAACCGACAAAAAGGGCTGTAAAACACACAGATGGGTAGCAATGAGAGAACCAGATACGAGAGTGTGAAGGAACAGGAGAGAGAAAGAGATATTACACATAGCGAAACTCTCAAACCTGAGGGAAATACCCCAAGCTTAAGGCTCGTCCTTGTCAAAGCAAATGTCTTTGTTCCACAGGACCAGCAAGACACACAGCACAAATACCTGGGCTGGGAAGGTTAAGGAGACTTTTTGCGTAGCCACAGGAACACCAACTAGTTTGGAATGCTGACATAACTGGGATTTGCTGCCTTGGTGCTTTCGGCGCACCGAGGTTGAACAACTGTGGCACCAGAGTTTCGGCTGTTGGAGGCATGGCAGCAGTCGACACGGGAAAAGGGTTATCTGTCAATGCTTCTACGAAACTTCTAGACTCTAGACTCGATCTGTTGCTTATCTCCAGAAGAGACTCTGAGAGTGAAAGCCCGAAGCCTCACCACAATCTGTGAATGTCCGCATGAGCATGCCACTGGCCCCCTAACAATCAGAGCACTCCATCCTGAGCACAAAAGAGCTTATATTGAAGAGCATGCCAAGCAATGTCATTCCTGCTGGCGAACGACTACTAGTGGCAAATACACTTGAATCTGACAGGTGCATCAAACGTGGCTGCACATCAAACGTGGCTGCTGCGGCCTTGATCAGCATAGGACTGAATTAGGCCTGCCCGCGCGAGTCCTCGCTTCCCCATTGCTTCGGCCCCGGCAGAAGTACCTGACAGCAGCAGTTGCAGATTCCAGTGTCGATTGCATGCATGCAGATTCGATTCGAAACGGTGTGCAAGAAGAAGGAGAAAGCTCAAGTAGTGGTACACGGTATACACCCAGGCTGCACTCTCTGACTTGGATGCAAGCACACATTCTTTTCTTTGGCGCATAACCTCTAGGGCTTCAGCGTGATCCACACACAGAAAGCCGGGGTCACCCACAGGTGGCCGAGCAACAAGCAGCTATCGTAGCTGAATGCACTCACTCAGTTCCCCACTGAACTTCAGAAAATCCTGTTATCCTCAGGCAAAGGTCCCCCGAATAATGTAAGGTTATGTTAGTGGCATATGAAAGAAGCAAGTGCTGAAGTTTTGGTCCCGGATGTACGAGTTCGAAGTCCTTCTACCCAGAGGAACCAGGAAATTCTGTGTGGGCACATTCAATCACTGGGCTTGCTACCCTCCACCAAGCTCTGTTCAGCATCACTCGAAGAAGAATACAAAATCTCGTAATGGATGTTTGGTATCCATCAGTACCATCAAGATCGCATGCCAAATGCATCAGCCGGTGACCTGTCATGAGAGGAGCACAAAACAGAGAAGCGGAGAGGGAGTAACATAATAAACAAGATCACAGGGAAACAAGTCTTGAAAGTCCCCAGACAAGGAACGTCAGCCGTAGATGGCTGCAGGACCACATACTCTTGAGCAGCCATGTCCATCAGCTCGAAGAACCCCTCGTCTCCAGGGCTCAATCCACTCTGCTGCCAGCGTGTCCGGGCATAGATCCAAAAGACACCCTGAACAGGCATACTCAAGGCATTTAACAATACAGTCGACACAGGGCCAAAGCTTCATCTTAAAAACGTGCAAACACTAGGCCATGCCTCCGCAGTGGTCCGGGTCCCCGTCTTGAGGTGGGGCAAGACGTGCAACCAAAAGCTTTTCGCGATTGCCTTCCACAACTTCTGTGCCTCGGATCCCCTGATCGGGGGAATGGCACGTCTGGCAAACGTCTGCGGGTAGCTGAAAGTGTCATCCGTGTCATCAGCATCCGTCTCCGCAGCCGTGGTGCCCTTTCGCACCCGTCCGATGGCCTTTGCTTTGGCCTTGGCCTTCTCAGCTGGTGCTGCTTCTGGGGCCGGTTCCGGCTCCACACCCAGCTCCCCAGCAGCCTTGTTGGCACGGCTGCGCTTCTTCTTTCCCGCCTTTGGCTGCGCAGCCTCATGCTTCACCGGTTCTTCCCATTGCCAGGCCTCCCACGCAGCCCACTCCGATGCATCCCACTCACCATCCTCCCATTCCTGATCTTCCCAAGCCTGCTCTGCTGTCCAGGAAGCAGAAGCCTGCGGCTTCTTCACAGTCGATGCACTTGCACGGACGGGCTTCTTGGAATGGTCTTGCTTGACATTTTTCCCACGACCCCTTCCACGACCTCTGCCTCTGCCTCTGCGGGGCTTCCCATCACCCTCCTCCTCAGCAGCAGAAGCCTGCTTGATGGAAAGCTGGTCATTGCGGGTCAGCACCTGGACTGGGAAACACAAGACTACTGTTAAAGTCTATGGTTTCAGGGTTTAGAAGGGGTAGGGTTTAGGGTTCGGGCTTTCATTTGATTGGTTTTGCAAAACCGAACCTGCTTCTCTGGACTCAAGTCAGTCGCATACAACAAAGTTGAAGGCTTCGGCTTCGGAGTCGGCTCAGGAGAATCTGTGGCACTCAAAGCACTAACGGCTGGGGCTGCATGCTGGCTCGGTTCTGGCTGCAATTCTGCCTCCACAGGCTCTCGCTTCACGCGCTCTGGAGTGTCCAAATCAATCACTTCAGAGGCTTTGGCGTTTGGGGCAGGGGCAACTGGGCTTGCATCCCACGGCTGTGTCTCCAAACAATCTGGCCGCACTGCTCCACCCAAGCACTTTGAATCCTTGCTGAGAGGATTCACCAAATAACCTGAGCATCAAAACAAGCTATGGACTATAGATCAATCGAATCCTCCTTCTGCAAACATGTTTTCATTTCCACAAGCCGAGACTCTGTCACAGTTGCGGTCGAGGTCCTCTGTAGCCCTGGCCCTGCGCCTCAGATCAAAAATTCTGATATTTATCACATTTAATGATTTCACAACAGCCCATGCATGCACAGCAGACCATATTCGGAAAAGGAACAATTCAGCGAGTTTGGCTGTACCAGCAGCCACTAAAGCCAAGAGCTTTTCCCTATCCTGTCCTGGGCCCGTAGATGTATGTGACGAGGCAGAAGCAGATGGTTCCTCAGGAGCCTTCACATCCGGAGAATCAATCTCAGCTAGCATGGCATCCAAGGATCGGGGCCCGATATCATCGACTGAAAAATGCTCCGTGAATCCAGCACATGCCGCAGACGATGCCTCCCCCAAAGTAGGTCGCACCTCAGATCCTGCAGATGACGATGGCTCCTGCAAACTGTCTTCTGCTTCATACACCTGAAGCGAGGGCTCCAGCAAACTCGGCTCCCCATCATATGCCCCAGACGATGGCTCGTGCAAACTGTCTGCCACTTCATACGCCCCAAGCGATGGCTCCGGCAAACTCGGTTCCACATCGTATGCCCCGGATGATGGCTCCTGCAAACTGTCTGCCACTTCAAAAGCATCAGACGACGACCCCGGCAAACTGGGTCCCACATGAGATGCCCCGGACGATGGTGCTGGCGTGGGCTTCTCAGCCAGCAAGGCCCCAGCACCTGGTGGCGGTGGAGGTTGTGGAGAATCATCGTTCTCCACGATATAGGGGTCTGCATCATCATCTTCACTATCTGGGCGGAGCAGACTATCAGCATTGCCACCAGCCTCACTTGTACAAACAGACCAAACTGAATCGAATTTGCAGACTCAATTGAAATCTTTATGACATGTGTTCAGACCAGACTCCTGCAGGAAGTTGGCAAAAGCCACATCATACATCTTCACCAGCTCCGCTGCACGAGGATCCTGGAGCAGGAGAATTAAAAGAGTTCACACAGGATATCACTTATGCTACTTATCGGTCGGTGATTGAATACAATCTCTACATCCAGAGGTCCTTCGGAGTCTCTGTGCGCATCCACTTCCGTCGCAACAGAGTCAAACACCTCTTTATTCCCCAAGCATCCTGGTGAGCAATGGCCTCAAGTTGTGTGGGATCTGGGTATCCTGCAAGGGAGTAGAACTCGATCACCAGTGGAGTCAACACTTCGATCGAGGGAGTATCCACTCTGCCAGACACGGACATACATGTCACCAGGGGCTTCAGAACATTGTGGTTTTCCGCCACATTCTTGATGTTCCCCAGCACATAAGAAACTCCTTTGACAGCCGACACCATCAACGTTCGTCCTTTTGAGGCTCGCCGCCTCAAAACTGCCTCATTATCCCACTCCTGAGGCACCCTCGAGAAACTCACCATCCTGGCCAAAGATCGGCCAAAGCAATGCCACACACTTTTAAACCACCGAAACGGCTTTCGAGAGAGATCGGTATTCGTTCATCATGTTTCACATACAGGGGCATGTGACTGAACTATGCAGTTTGCACCAGAAGACAGCAGAAGCACCATACAACTTAAGAAAGAAAGCACATCAGCAATGGAGGGTGGCGCACGGACCGAGGTTCACGACAGCGGAGACGATGATCTTCATGAGCTGCCTCACCTGGCAAGTGAATGCTCCCCTGATTAGCTCCGGTCCACACAGCAGGGCTCATCGTCTTGGCATATAGCTTAAGCACTTTCATGCGACATGAGAATGAGCCCGAAGTCCTCAAAATGTAGGTGCAGTAGAAGAGGCTCCCCTCAAATAGTTCATACAACCCAGATCAACCACCCAGATCCAGCCTTCAGTGCCTGCCGACAAAGACGAAGAAGTCCAGAGCGACATGTGTCAAAGAGTTTGCAAGCTGAAGCTTCGTGGCTTAGGGCCTTAGGGGCTTAGGGGACTTAAGATCTTCATACTTCCAGGTCTTTTGGGTCTGTATACTTCGATACCGGGGCAACAAGAGCTCTAGCTTGGGCTCTGGGATTTGGGGTTCAAGCTTTGCTTCGGCTGCCTATGCAACGACCGAAGGGCTCAGATCTCCTCCTTCGGATCTTTGGTGGGTCTGTTGTTTATCTATAGCATCTTATACTCAAGCTTCCTGTCCTTCTAGATAGGATTTCTGGGGCTGCCTATGCATTGCACTGCCCTGCAAGCCCGCCACCTGAGATTTATGGGCGTGTGTGTCTGGCATCCGATAATAAAGGGTCGTTGAGATATAACTCGGTTCTATAGAAATAACCAAATATAAAAGGTCGTCTGCGGTAGCAGGTATATACATGTAGAAAGATAATGCAGACACGTGGGAGTGCACGTGCGACTTCATAAGACTCCTATATGCATACCCTATATGTTTTGTTGATTATATGTATTTACCGTAACGTCTTTTACAACGATTACCTGTCCGCACGTCCAGGGTGTGGGTGTGGGTGTGTGTGTGTGTGCGCGATACTGCAGAGACTCCAAAATCCATTATTATATCTTCAACATATGTATAAAGTGAATACATGCTTGCGTTCACATGGTTTTTCATTCGGATCGTGGTACGCTGACACGGCGACGCAGGGGTTCGTGGGTATACCTTTTTTGAAACCATCTTGGACGGATGCGCTTCCAATCTTTTTCTGCGGCTTCTTGAAGATGTCAAGATCGGCTAATCGGCTAAAACAATTTTTTTAGCAAAAAGAGCTATTTATCCGTACTTATGTGGTATCCGGCTCTATGTGGCTAACAGGCTCTATCTATAGATCTGGCCGCAACGTGCTGGTAGAGGGTCAGCCACCAGCCACCGACTATACCCAGAGTTAGCTGCCTGCTCGACCGCCGAGAACCAAACCCCAGCTGAAGGAGACAACCCCTGAAAGATCTGCCGAACCTGGGCCCCAGTTACCGCAAACAATCGCACTGTTCGACAAATCCGCCTGCACTAGCTTAGGGAGCTCCGAAATATACTTAGCCGGCTCCTCTGGCCTCTCAGAAGACCCCGAACCTTGAACCCCACTACTCCCTGAGTCCATAACCCGTGAAGTCCCTGATAGGCTTCCTGAGTCCCGTGCCCTAAGCCTAGGTCCCCAGTAGTCCCTAACTCCCCTACAGGCGCACTGCGAGGTGAAGCCGGCGGCGGTCCTGCTTGGTGGCTTGATGCTCGTTCCTCCCGGAGAGACCGGATAACCTTCCGAATCAAACTGACCCCTAACACCAAGTCCCGACCTAGGAGCATGAAACCCAGCAAGTCCTGAGTCCCCAGCACCAAGCCCCGCGGTTAGGGCCGCACTCGCAAACTCTCTCAGACTCTGAGGTGGAGGAGGACTTTCGGCGATGGCACGAGCATTTGGCAAAGGGGGCGGCATGGGCCTCACCGAGTATTAGGCCAAAGCTGAAATCCCACTGGATCCCCAAAGTCGGTATTTGCCTGTGCAAGTGGAGCATGCGGCCCCAAGGCACAGCAAGACGAAGAATCATCCCACTCCACTTCTGTAAAGGTGAAACAACGAAGATGATGACGATGAAGGCTGTACTGTATCAGGTAAAAGTGAAACTACTTCTTCGCGCTGACGATACACCACATGCTGCTCCCGAGTCTTCTTCTTAAGACGGTATCTCGGCTTCTTCATCCCAGGAACAGGTTCCCTTCTCGGGCGACATACAGTAATACGCATATTCGCTCTGTCCTTCCACTTCCAGTCACGGCCACAACGAAAGCAGTGCAAGAGGCCTTCATCCGGCGAACCCACCTCTTTGCCTATCTGCTCATTCCAATACAATACATGGCGTCCACGGTTGTACTTAGAATGAAGCTCACGTCGAAGCTGTTTAATACGAGCAGTACTGCGTGTGAATCCCTCCTCTTCCAGCCACTCTTCTTCCGGCAAGTCCTTCTGAGAGCACTCGGCCCCCGTGATCTTCAGCTTAACGTGTTTCAGTCTGGTGACGAACTTGCCGCATTTGCGGCACCACACCCCTGGACGTCCCTCCACCCGAGGTCGGATCGCATGCCCATTTTCTTGAAAAACGCCTGCTTGCCCCGCACCCGCATTTCTCACCGCCTCCCTCACAACCTCTTGGTAATGTTGTTGTTTATCATGGAACGCTGCTATGTTGCGCCGCCAGATATCCACCAACATAGATTGCAGTGAACAAACCTCCGCGTCAGCCATCTCAAGTCTTGTAGGCACAATACCAGCGTACCGCGTACAAACCGGCAGGGTAGCGACTGAACAAGTCATCTGGGATATTACGGGATCACGGATATCTGCGTGGATTGTGCACTCCCAGGAAACATGCATCACAGTCTTCGGAACTCCACAAACGGCGCAATTGAAGTTTTGATGTATCCTCTTGTGACGGTGATCGCGCTCCTCCGTCATTAAACCACCTGCAAGCAACAAGCGCAGCACTGCAGTTTTTTGCCTGTACTCTTCAGTGGCGAAAGTCCCCAAAACATCATCATCCCTGCAAGCCTTGTTAGCCTCCTGCTCCCAGTGTTCGTGCAAAAGCATTGTACGTCTGAAATCCAGGTCCTGAATATCTCCATAGTGCTGTGGTCTATCTTTCATAGCCTTTTCCACCAGAAAAACACGCCAAGCCATCCGAAGTCGGTGCGCCCATTCTTGTTCATCAACATGTTGGTAAACAAGTTCATGAACAAGGTTGTTAAACACCGGACTGTCAGCAAGCAACCGCAACCGCGCCGCAGGGCCCTCCACCCACGCATCTTTACGAAACTCCTCCTGCAAGACGTTACGGAAGTCAACATCCCTGATGCACCGTGCAACAGTTCGAAGCCCATAGTAAACGGGTCCAAAGGTAGGATCTAGTTGTGGTGGAGCAAGAATCGCGAATGTAACCAGTGGCGACATACTGTAAAAGTCCCTGTGCCACAAGGCCCTCATAACATCACTTCGCATACGCTTGAGAGTATCCACTTCCCATTGAAAGGAATGCGTCCCCTGGCCATAGCATGCCTGGCTCTGGGTAGCCAAAAGTGTTTGACACTGCCTCTTCCAGTGAAAAGGGGCATGCCGAAGACGACGGATCGTACCATGCCATTTGTTACTCCGTTCACACTCAAGCTCAGTACGGCCATCCAACACCTCGTCAACGACAAACGACCCACCAACCACCACGAACTGCTTCTTGTGGTCCATAGTGTCATGCAAAAGCTTCGCCAAAGCGTCATCACCGAAAGTAAACGTTTTCTTGACATTCACCTCCCCAGCGTCACATGATTCATATGCCTGTACCACACGGTGAAAACGGCGGACAGCATCACGAAGTCCTTCTTTGGTAGTAGAGGAGGCCACGGCCGAAATATCATCCGCATACGATGACGCCACAACCTGCGGAATATGTTGTCTTGTATATTCAAGAAGGACAGTAACAACACAGTTCAGACCAATCATAGACAACGCGTCGCCTTGAATTAATCCATTGTCACTCTTCCACCATTCACCGCAATTCCCACGCAAACGAAAGCACCGCTGCAAGTGATCATACATCCACTGCAAAGGCTTGAGAAGCCGTTCCGAACATCCCCTCCGCCTCATCGCTTCAAACAGAAGTTGCACCGGTATCAAATCAAAAGCTTTGCGGCAATCATACGCAACGCCACCGACTGCTCTACCCCGAGTCGCCTCACGCTCCAAACGCAACGAAATGGACATCGCCAAACTGTCAGCCCCTCGTCGCGGACGACACCCCCACGCGTTACCATCAATCCAGTCCTCTTGCCAAAGGAGCGCGTCATCGAACCTCACCTTGCTCCACAAACGATAAACAGCACTTAACACAGTAATCGGACGAAAATCTGTGGGTTGTGCCTCAGGCTGCGTTTCGTCCTTGGGAACCAATGCTGTATATGCATAACACACCTCGTCAGGCCAGACACCGTGCACCTCAGTGTAATTCAGTATAAGAGCTAGTCCTTCGAAGATCTGAGGGTGCCACTTTGCAAGCGCTGTTAAAGACTCAGGTCTGAACTGGTCCAACCCCGCCGAACTGGCCTTCGTACGAAGTGCAGCTTTTACCAAACTATCGCCCGTGATATTGTCCACCGCCATAGGAGAGCGACGCATCCCGCTGCCAAAAAACTCGAAGAACCTGTCAACATTGGGCTCACGGTCCTTGAACTTCCCAAAAATCGGCTTCCACGCATCCAAAATGGCTTTAAGCTGATGTTCCTCATTGGCAGAATATGTACCATCATTCATTTTCATGACTGTACTCAAAGGCTTGCCCTCACCACGCAACCAACGATGAGCTTCACGATCTGATGCCCACATGCGCCTCTTCCACGCATTCAACCTTGCATACTTGCACTCCGTTTGTACTCGCTGGAAACACTCCTTCAGCACCACCAATAACCCTGCAACATTCTCCTTCGTAAGTCCCTTCCAAAAATGCTCATCCCACTGGATCCCCAAATCCTGGTGGCCTGGCGTCCATGGAACCTGGAGCAAAACCAGACCTAGCAACAGGATGAAGAGGCTGGGGTCTGGCTCCCACAAGAGAGTGTTGTTGGCCCACAGCTGCGCTTGGCCCGAACTCTCCCATAGGCAATCTCGCCTCCCGCACTCCGTACGGATCAAGAGGCTGTACACCTACTGCCGGACCCGGAAGGGTCTCAGAGAAATGTCGACCCAGGCCAAACGAGGCCGGAGACGCTGGTGCCTCTTGAGGTGTTCTTGCGCTGTGCCAGGAAGAATGAGATTCAGATTGCAGTTGACGCTTCAGGTTCTTGTTTTCCTTAATCACGTGGCCCAACAGCATTTCCATTCTCGCCAAACGATCCGGCTCTGCCGGTATCAGCTCTTGATAATCCTCTCCACCACACTCAGCAGCAGCAGTCGCATCCTGAATACTCGGCCCCAGTCCCTGAGCCGTCTTCAGCTCCAATCCAATGGCTTCCTTGCCGTCCCCTTGAACCGGTTCAGTAGGATCCAGAGTCAGTCCACGTCGCTCCCCCGCACCCGGAGATCCAGAGCCAGTCGTCGGCTCTATCCGGGCAACCCGAAGGGCACTCATAGCAGAGCTCCCCGGTCCAGATGCCACTTTGAAGGCTTGCGTATAATCAGGTTCCTTCTGATTTCCAACCTCATCACTGGTAGATGGAAACCACTCCTTATCCGCTGCCACCTCAGAGAAACCCAGCTCCGAAGCTTCACCTCTATGAATCACAGGAGGGGCACCATGGGCCCCGCCCTCTGGTGCTCTTTGACCCAAGGCTGTTTCGTAATCATGATCTTGGTCTCCATCCGAGGCACCCGCTCTACGACGGATCATCCTCTCCATCGCTCTGCAAGGGATGCCCCTAACCTTAACCCCTGGACTATCCAACAGGCCTCGCCCTAGAGCCTACGGTTGATAACCTACGTATAATCTAAGACCGAACCACAAAGTTAAATGAGGACCCTGAGACGAACCCCTAAGGGTCTAGACCACCCAAAGAGTAACCCCCGTGGGCCTGGATCTTTTTCAGCCAAAGAACAGCCTTCCGGTCGGACACGAGTGGCACCTGTGCTAGAGCAGACTCGGCACGCACTAAGCCCTAAACCTTTCCCAAAGGGGGGTCGGTCCAGATTCGACCCAAAATTGAATTTTTTTCTACAAACTTTAGTACTGGAGAGGCCTTTGTCGAGCAAGGGTCCAATTCCCAATTCGGCGGTTCACCCTAGCAGCCCCCCCAATAAGCAAGGCATACAGTAGCAGTACAATAGTACAATAGTAGTACAGTAGTAGTACAGATTCTCATTCCTGACGCCCCAATAAGCGAAACAATTCTGCAAGAGATTTTCGGGCTTCAGGGCCAGGGTTTTAGGGTTGGGTGGGGGTTTGGGTCGCGGCTGCCTTAAGATTGACCATCAGCAAACAGCACAGCCCCGCCACCAAAAAAAAAAACAGCAAAAAAAAAAAACGCATTAATTAGAACACCCAAATTTTTGGTAAGATTTGGAATTAGCCCCGACACATTAAAGGGGCCTATATTCCAAAACCGACACCCGCATTAAGGTCCAGGCCATGCAGTCCAGAAAAGCGAAGCAGCACTTTTTGCAGCCTCCCTCCTCTTCCTTCTCTGCCACATCTTTGCCTTGAGACAGCTCGCAGGCTCGCAAGGCCAGGGTCACAGGGCCTGAACAATAAGCTCTGAGAGTCCCCGCTGCCCTCTTCGTCGGCCATGGGCGTTGGCGGCGTTGGCTCCTGACTTTGGAGCTTTCTAGACACGGGACTCCTGCTCGACTCCCACGCACCCGGGCTCGGGACCTCAACTGCCGGACGCCAGACACCGCCGGATGCTAGATTGGGATGAAGCCGGGCGGCCGCGAGGGCATAGCGCCCAAGCCGAAGCCGCTGGAGCCACAGCCGCAGGCGTGTCGACAAGAGGATTGCCAGCGCAGGATGGTGCAGGCAGTGCTGCAGTGCGCCGGTTCTCAGATGTCGATTTTGAAGTGCCCGCATCCCGTCTGAACACCAATGCACACCTGCGCACGCTCTCTCAGAATCTCAACGGCCTTAGACGGCTGGGCTGGCGACAACTCTGCACAAGTTGCTGGGCTGAGTCAGCCGCTGGAGCTGGAGCGCCGTCTGGCCTTAGGGGCGCGTTCCAAGGCCCACCACAGGGCACTTTAATCATTGTCTACGCCGAGGCAACCACGCCACGCCGCACGGGCCCTGCCAGCTTTCACTGCACGGGGACAGAGCAAACAACTGCGGCAAACGGACGTTCCTCGAGTGCCGTCGTCACGGGCCTAGGGCGTGCAGTGCGGTTGGGCTCTGATGGCGCTGGCACTTACTTGTCCGATGTATCTTGAGATCGTGGCAAACTGGGCTTTCCGAATCCGGGCAAGCACCACTGCGGTGGGATCCCGCACGTCACCGCTCAACTCGAAGGTGTTGTTGCCACCGGACAAGCCCATCACCTGAAAAATGCAGCTGTCCTTCAAGTGGACTTTGACATGCGCAGTTCTCTACGAACGGAACCCCGCTGTTGAACCACATCCGTATCGATAATCAGGAACAGGACGACTCGGAAGCACTTCACGGCCGGGCATGCAGATGCCTTGCAAGCCAACGACGAATCCAGATCTCGCAGAATTTTCTCGCAACGCTCTTCCAATTTGTTCACCTCACAAAGGAGTCTTGAATGCCGCAGTTCAAGGTTCTAAGGCAGCACCAGATCGTACAGCATCTGAGAACGTCGTCTCAAATCCACAAAGCCATACATTGCCTTGACAAAGCGATCAATTTCTCCATCGACATCCAATTTGTCCTTGCTAGAAGCGGCGGACATGGAAACCAACTGCGCATGAGAAGTCGGAGCTGGTGGTGTTTTGGCCATAGCATGCTTTGCTGAATTCGCTGTTGCGATCGAATGACCCTGCCATTGAAGTGTGGCCGCTCTCCATGTTCGCAGCACTGTAAAGGAACTGCTGCCTATTATACTGGAACTCGAAAACATCCGACAGCGTCGCGAGAGTCGTTCCTATCTCACCTGCAACCGTGATGCTCTCGAAGGTAGTTACAGTCACCGTCGTCACCTTGCCACGCGTTTCTCGTTGCTGTTTCCCCCATCACGCGTATGCGATATAGTTGGGTCCAGCAAACTCTTCTCGAACTGACGCGAGACACTCCCGATAAAAGTGCGTTTCTGCCCAAATGCAAACGTCGCCAAAAGCAGACCTTGATGAACAAGGTGCAATTCGCAAAGTGTTCACGGAGTTTGACACCTCCCCAACGTCTGCGACCGTGCAGGCCCTCCGCAGCGTGAAAAGGGCGGACCGAATGCAATAACCGGCATAGAGTCATGCGAAGTTCCTGGATTACCTGCTTTTCAGGGTGTTCAGACACAGCAGCCTGTCTTCGAAGCGGCACGTTGAAGGTGTGGACCCCTGAAGGTCAAGCGACTCTCTGCCATCTTGGGGTGACACTGCTAAAACCTGCCGGTGAAAGCCATAACTGCTTTGCTCTACACCAGGAGCAACGCTGCCCACAGGGTGGGTTCAGGATCAACAAGTTCTGCATGCACTTTCACATATCTGCGAGCATCTTCTCAAGACTCATGCGGCTTTCGACCCACAAACGCCGAAGTGTTTCAACTTCAGCCTGTCATCCCTTTTGGGCCCCCGGTTGATGCTCGAGGGATTGCAGCCTTCTCAACGTCGTGTTGCGAACAAAGCGTCACTGGCCGGTCTTTTCAGAATTTGAGCCCTCATAGTCTTCTGAAGACCTCGAAATAACTCGAGCAGCAAAACAACGAACAAACCTTGTTCACTTGGGCGTTTGGAGAGGACGGTTGTGCACATGTCACAATGTGCACCGTCTTTCTCGGCATTGTGTTGGGTTTCCACGCTTGCTGTGAGAACTTCCTAAGCTCGAGAAGCAAACATCAAGTCTTCGGCAAGGCGCGAACACGCAGGCGAGCACCCTCCTTCACTTTACAGAGGTCAAGAACTGCCGGAATGTTTCGCACAGGTGAGTCGAACCATTTGCGCTGCAACTACGTGCCCGCATGCAAGCTTAGCAGCACTGACAAGGCAAGCGCCCGTTTTGAGACAATACAATCGCCGGCACTGACCCTGAGACAGGTCGTTTCTGGCGCACAACAGGTTTGCTCAGCTTTCCATGAACATTGCCTACTGAGGCACCGCGTCATGGACACTTCTGGTCGCAGGACGGGAGCACCGAGGGAATTTGGACTACGGAGACCGTGCATTTACGATGTATAGGTTTCCCTTCACTCCGCAGAGCAGCATGTCCAGAATCTGTACGCGTGGAATGTACCGAAATCTGAGCAATGCATGGAAACGGCTGTAGATGCCACACGTTGGAGGCCGGGTCTACCTTCCTAGAGAGAAGTAGCGCACGGAGGTCGTGGTACCTCCAACATGTAAACAAAAATAAACTCATTGTCAGATAATTGTACAGAACACACACAGACAGAACAGATCAATTTGTTGGAACAGTTGAAAATCACCGTTCGAGCCCATGAGGCCACTCTTCAAGCTTTCTCAAGTTTCCTTTTTTTGGTGTTTCGACGGTTGTTCGCAATACTTTTAAGTGTCTATTGAACTGTTTGTAAGAATCTGTCTCTTCGCTTCGCCGTTCTGGACTCTCACCTCTCCTGTCCTGCTGATTGGCACATCGCTGCTCCAAGAAGCACTGCCCATTGGCCATGCATGTCGGCTGGCAAGATGCTTCCAGTCCTCCCGGCGACGCCGCTTCCGACGAGGCCGTGGTGAAGGAGTGTAGCTATACCTGCTGGAGGATTGCGGCAGCTTGGGCTGAGCCTTTGACGCCTACATGGGCCCTTCACCCTTTCCTTGAAGCTTTTCTGGGCTTCCGAGCGAGCTTGGACTAGGCCTGCGCCGACGCCGGCGCCTCTTCCGCCTTAAGACATGAAATAGTTGAAGGACAAAGGCTAAAGCGGCTGAAAACCGCGTCGCGCCTGCGTCTAGGCCGAGGCGTTGGGGTTCTGGAGTAGCTGCTATAGTCGGAGTAATCCTCGCCACAGACACTACAGGCCATCCCAAGCAAGCAAGTTGGCGTTCCCGCACGGAGCCTCCGATCCGTCGGACTCGAGTTCCTGTCGCGAAGGCGGGGCCCGGCGGGGCCCGGCGGGGCCCTTGGCTGCTTTTGCGGAGGGGAGCTTTGAGGCTCTGCCCCCTGCGCCTTGCTGGACTTCTTTTGCCTCTCCTTGAAAGAGACTGCCAGTCTCCCAGGCCCCCTGAGCCTCAAAGCTGTAGCCCGGCCCAGCCTCTCGGCTCTTCTTTTCTTTAGTCTTGCTCTTTTTGGGTTTGGCCACCTTTTTCTTTGCCTGTCAAGAAACTTAGCATCCCATTGGGGATGCTGTGGAGCAGCATGACATCAGAAGTCAGAAGCCATCCGTTAAATGAAGAAACGGCTCAGATCGACTCTCCGTCCCCGTCCACCACCTTCTTTTCTTCAACTTCCTCTGACCCCTCATGAGTTACTTTGCCTACCTGCAGTCGACGCGTAGACTGCTTCTATCCGATCGCAAGAAGGCCGTGCTGGAGTCTCATGGCCTCGGCCTCGGGAGCCTCCAGCGGCTGGGGCTTCTGAACCTCAGCAACCGGGAGCCGCCGTTTTGCACAGCACTCTTTCTGTCTAGACGGCGAGGTGCGATGTGCTCGAGAGCTGCCACAACGAGCCTGAGTCCGATTCTTCAGTTATCGTATAATGTAGGACGAACTGCAGTCGACGCAGGCCTGCGCAGTTCCTCAGCCGACGCAGGGGCACCACCCTGCTCAGGGCATGGAGACACGGGCCATATTTTCTCGAGTCCCGAACCGTGCAGGGCCTCTGGGAGCTTCGCCTTGGAGCCCTGAGACATCCGGCTTCCGGTTTCGACACCGGCTGTCTTCCGGATTACAGGAAATCCGTGTCGTAACCCGCCTCCAACAGCTTGGCATGCTTGTGAAGGAGCTCGAACATCTTTGACAGCTGCTCCTTCTGTGCCTGCACGCTCTCAACAGAAGCCTGCGGCGGCGCGGTGAAAGGCGGGCCCTTGCCTTCGCTCTGTGGAGCAGTTCGGTCAAGTGCTCCCAAGGCTCCTGAACGGTTACCCAACGGTCCACGGTTGGGAAATAGCCCAAGGGCGACTATACCGAGATAAAGTGAAGCTCATCCGCTCATGCGCCTCAGAGACGTCCAGGACGCCTTTCAGCGCTTCTGCCTCCTGACAGGGACAATGTGGGTTGAGTGCACTGCAAGTTGCACTGCAACGCTCCCATCCTACTAGTATGTCTTAGGGTCGGCTCCTCCGCTTGTTCTTGCACGGCAGCACGCTCCTGCTAAAATCAAAGCGAAATTTTACAAGGCGGAAGCGGCAGTGGCGGCAGTGGTAGCCGCTGTGGGGCATCGCCTTGGAGCTCCAGCTCCGAAGCTCTTCCTTGAAGTCTTCCACCACGCCAAAGAGCTTCTCCCATGCCTACACCGTAAGCGCCGTAAGCTGCAAGAAAAAAAATGCTGACAAACGTTTTGTTGGCAGCCCGCCTCCGAAGCCATCCCTGCACTTTCTAGGGCCCGGGAGACCCCAGCAGGCCGGCAGTCAGCGCATGCCGGATGAACTTGGACCCGCAAAGTCGTGCTGGCAAAGACTTCGAAAAATAATGGCGTCCACAGGACTCCCAATACATGCTCAAGGCCCCTGAGAGCTCGCCGTGCACTTCGAATCCCAAGATATCGTGTCTCCCTAGTTCGAGCCAGGACAGCTCCGAAATCCCCTGCTCGTAAAAATCAGATGCCAAACCCTTGGAGATGTCCATACGCAGGGCCCCAGAACCCCTGAAGACGGCCAGGATTGGCTGAGCCTTTTGAGAATCATCAACGGGGTTGGCGTGGCGCTGCGCCGGCACCAAAAAGTCGTGCCACCTGACAAAGGGGAGCTCGGCTTGCAGATGCTAACCAGATGCCTTCGAAAGCGCTTCGTTAGCAAACGAGATGACGGGTATCTAAGAAAGTTTATTCAGGTTATTCATCGCTTGACTTCCGCTGTCGTGGAAAGTACTGTTGCATTTGAAAACAAGCTTTCTGCGATTTCATGCTGGTTGGATTAAAAAACATTCGGTGATGGCGCCTGCCTGCAGCTTAAAGCTTGTGCATTGACGGACACTCACACGACGTCGGGGCCAAAAGACATACATGCGTATATACATGCATAATACATACTCCTGCACGTTCGTGTACATGACGTATGAATCATCTGTATAATGTGTGCATGTATGTACGCATGTTCGTATGTATGTATATATCTTTGTTTATACTAGATGCGATTGTTTGACTAGACAGTCTGTTTTTGGGCACAAGTGCCGGGGAGCCTCCCAAAGTAAGCAGAAGCTGGATTTGGTTGGGCAGGAGATGTGCCAAGCACAGCGCTGCCGGGCTCACGCCTGTCTCCCACTTCACGTAGCAAAGTTCCGAGTTTGCATCGCCGAAAGTGACAAGTGAAGTATGTATGTATACATACATACATACATACATGCATGCATACACACAGGCATACATACATATGAGCATACATACATACATCGGCACATCGAATGTGGAGTTGAACCAGTGTTTGAAATGGGCTTTGTGTTGATACTGACTTGCATGCAAGGATGCTAACCAGATGCCTTCGAAAGCGCTTCGTTAGCAAACGAGATGACGGGTATCTAAGAAAGTTTATTCAGGTTATTCATCGCTTGACTTCCGCTGTCGTGGAAAGTACTGTTGCATTTGAAAACAAGCTTTCTGCGATTTCATGCTGGTTGGATTAAAAAACATTCGGTGATGGCGCCTGCCTGCAGCTTAAAGCTTGTGCATTGACGGACACTCACACGACGTCGGGGCCAAAAAATATACATGCGTATATACATGCATAATACATACCCCTGCACGTTCGTGTACATGACGTATGAATCATCTGTATAATGTGCGCATGTATGTACGCATGTTCGTATGTATGTATATATCTTTGTTTATACTAGATGCGATTGTTTGATTAGACAGTCTGTTTTTGGGCACAAGTGCCGGGGAGCCTCCCAAAGTAAGCAGAAGCTGGATTTGGTTGGGCAGGAGATGTGCCAAGCACAGCGCTGCCGGGCTCACGCCTGTCTCCCACTTTACGTAGCAAAGTTCCGAGTTTGCATCGCCGAAAGTGAAAAGTGAAGTATGTATGTATACATACATACATACATACATACATGCATGCATACACACAGGCATACATACATATGAGCATACATACATACATCGGCACATCGAATGTGGAGTTGAACCAGTGTTTGAAATGGGCTTTGTGTTGATACTGACTTGCATGGCTAGTGTTAATACGGCCTACATTGGCATTTCGGAAATGCACAATTCTGTGTCTATTGAGTTTTATTGGCCCGAAGCATTTTGTTGCATCGATTTAGATTTGTCCGTTTTTGCTGGCAGATGTTGCCGTGGCATCAGTTTCAGGGCATGCCCTTGAATATACACAGCTAAACCAACTCGAGATCAGTGTCATATGCGTGCATATATATATATATATACACATACATGTATATATTTACATTTACATATATATATATATGTATATATATACATATATATATATATGTATATATGTATATATGTATATATGTATATATGTATATATGTATATATGTATATATGTGTATATGTGTATATGTGTATATGTGTATATGTATATATGTATATATGTATATATGTATATATGTATATATGTACGAAAGACCTTTCTGTATTATTTGACGCATCTGTCTGCTGTGTTACCAAATGCAATTTAGATTGACATTCCAAAAAGATTTAACGCTTCTAAAAGCATTTGAACTTTTCTTTAAAAGTTGAGAATTTAAGCAAAATTTGTTTTAATTAGATTTTCCAAAAATATTCATTTTTACAAAACATTTTTTGTTTGGCAAATTTTTCTTTTTTGCAAGATTAATTCATATTTAAATTGATTTTGCACAATACGTAAAACTTTTGAAAAATTGATATTTATTGAAAATTTAATTAGAATTTAATTAGCTTGTTCCAAAATATTTATAATGCTTAAAAAAAACATTTTGCAAACTTACATACAATTTAATTAGATTTCCCAAACAATTTAAAATCATCGAAAAAAACTTGAAATAATTGATTTTATTGGAATCCCGGAAAATTTAATTAGATTTCCCAACAATATAGTTAAAATTTTTAAACAAAAATTGAACTTATTGAAATCTTTGGAAATTTAAATAGAATTTCATCGGATTTTCCAAAATATATTCAAAAAATCATAACATTAATGAAATTACTGAAAATGTATTTGGAAATTTGATGAAAAAATATTTAGATTTTCAACAATATTTAACATTTGGGGAAAAAATTTGAAGTTATTGAAATTGAAAATTTAACTACAATTTACTTAGATTTTTCGAAAAGATTTAAAATTTGTAAAAAACATTAGGGTTTTTGAAAATTCATTCAAAATTGCAAGTGGTTTTTTAAATCTTAAAATATTTTGGAAACATCTAACCAAATTTTCAAAAAATTCAACAATTTCAATAATTCCAAATTTTTCGAAAACTTTATTCAAAAATTTCATCTGTTTTAAAATTTTATATATTGGAAAAATCTAATTACATTGCAATTAAATTTTCAAAAAGTAACTTTTGTAAAAAATTTAAAGTTTAAACTTGTTTACAAAATCTCCAGAGCTTTCCTAACTTGCAACGATAGAAGAGATCTGATAGCTTCCAACAATAGAAGCCCTCTACCTCGTCCTCGACAAGAAGAGATTGAGAGCGTCCTCCAATCCAATGTAGAAGAAGAAGACTGCATCTGCAAAAGACAGACGGGCGCCTCCGAGTGATCGAGAAAGAAGAGCGCCCCGCTTGCTTGTGACATTGTGGATGTTTACAGCCGTGGCACCTTATATCTTTAACTCGCACTGCATTTTAGGGATGTTGTAGTAACCCTCAGCCACTAAGAAGAGACCAACTTTCTCTCCACGTAAGGTAAAGAGACCCCCTCAACCTTAAAACAAAGAAGTCTGGTCCTCTCCTCAACCTTCCAAAAGAAAGAGAACTCCTCTACCTCATGCGTTAAAGCAAGAAGAAAGCTCCCCTACAAGTTATTCGTGGTGAGAGCAGCGAGCTCCAATACTGACCTCTTGGGAAGTCGCTATTCAGTCTTGAAAACAGTGAAGAGACCTCACTCCTAGCAAGAAAGGACAAAGCCACCCCCTCACTCCCCCTCCTCTTCAAAACATGGATAAGAGCTTACGATCAAGAAAAAAGGAAGGAGTCTTCCAAACTTCAAACCTTGACAAGAGGCTGCTGGTCCTCCCTTCCTTCGGCCTTCAAACAGGAAATGACAGGCCCTCTACCTCATCCTCTGAAACAAGAGGAGAACTCACTCCAAGTTACTCCTGGTAAGAGAAGACAGCTTCTTTTTAGAAGAGAGTTCCTTTACGTTTCGGTAGAGGAAGAGACCCCTTTGGCACTTTGGCAAGAGAGGGCAGTACCCCCCCTAGCTTCTCGAAAAGCCATCTACCTCATCTTCGACAAGCGGGGGCCGAAAGCTTCATCCAATCATAATGAGACACAAGAAAGCTCCATTTCCAGAAAGAGACAGACGGGTCCCTACGAGTTATCGAGAAAGAAGAGAGCTCCGTTAACCCCTCTGTCGGGAAGCAGAGACCTCCTTCTTTCTAAGCAGCGAGATCCTGGGTATCCCCGTACCTTTCAAAAGAGGTACGCGAGCATACGTTCAAGAAGAGAGGGTGGGGCTCCTTCAACCTAGTGAGACAGACGGGGGCCCTCTTTCAGAATAGCAGGCAAGCCCCTCCAACTTCGCGAGAGCGAAGACCGCTCCGTTTATCCCTCCGTCGGCCAGAAGAAGCCTCCCTTCTCTCTTGGCAAGGGAAATTAAGATAGCTCCTGACTATCTCCTCTTCTTCTTCCGAAGATGGAACTATCGGAGCTCTCCTGAGAATCTCTACAATCTTATGTGCAGTATGCTTTCCACCTGGAAAGGGAACTGAACACAATAGTGGGCAACTTTCAAGCAACGAGTTTTCAACCGAAGATCTGTGTGTGTGTTGGTGTGTGTTCTGCTCTTTTCAAAAGCTGTCTCCAGGCTGAGATGTACAGTTTCTCTCAAGTCGCAGATGTAGCTCAATCTGCGCAGTATTAATTCGCTTGGGCAAAAACAAGCTTGCAGAATGCCGATTCCACGGCCATGAAAGTTCTACGTGTCTTAAATTTGTGCCTGGTTGAAACCCTGAATGTTACACATCCAGGTGCCTGTCTGTGTCACGTATCACTTGCATGTATGCCTGTTGCTCAAGGTTCTAGCGCAGTGGACTACAGCTGTGCGCCTGTAGGAGAAGAGACTCCTGAGTGCCTGTGTTCCTGTACGCCTAGCGAGGGGATACACGTCCAGGTTACATCTCATGGGGTGGGGGTTGGTGGGGCGGGGTTGGTGGGGTGGGGTTGCGACTGGGAAAGGGGTGGAGGGGATGGGGTTGGGGT